GTTACATTACGCTCGAAATACGCGCTACCCATATTCTAGTATTCCAATGCTACATGTACTCTTAGAGGACAATCTAGTCTTGAGGCAGAAGATGTCGGTATAAGGTAGATGGCCTTGGTTCAACGTTTCGCTCTTGTTGTCGTTGTGTTGTGCCGTGCCAGTGTGCTGTCTTATATATATATTTGATTACAGTACGAATACATGTATTCGTTCACTATGAGTCTGAAGCCTGGAACTTGCCTAATTTTGGACCAACTACGCAGCATTCTCCAGCATGACTGATGGCTATCATGATAGAAAACGACGACGCACGAGGTGGAGTAAAGTGATTTCTGGTGATTTTTGAAGCAATCCCAACCCCAAGCGAAGATTTGGGCACAGCTGTGCCATGATACTCAACAAAATGGGCAATCCAGGCATTTCCCAGTAACAAATATTGATGGAAGCGGATCAAGACTCTTCTTGCTCGACAGATGTTTCTGCTGGAACAAGATCCACAAACGTTCTTTAGAGGGGAGGAGGAGGGCAAGCTCCCCATGGGCATCCATTCAGCCAATGAGCGACAATCAGGGTCCAGTCCTGCCAAACATGCCAAACACATTCGTGTCTTCATCAATTGACCATCTTCACCACACTCTTGCACAGAGCATTGCAACCTCCATTAAGCCTCTCATATCCCCTCAAATCCTCTCAAGTCTTTGAAAATATGGATCCCTATTCCCCAGAAGGAGGTGCGCTTGTCTTGTTCCACGCATCACAAGACAGACAGACAGCTTGCTGACGCCAACCCAGAGCTGATAAACATCCATTCGGCCTTCCACGCGGGCGCCTACCAAACTGTCATAGACTTTGATACCTCTTCCTTCTCCGCCTCCAACAGTCTGCCTGTGCGCGTACTCCAATTGCGCTCGCAAATCGCCTTGGGTCACGCAAAAGCCGTCTCGGACGAACTGGCCAGCGAGAAGACACCGGACCTGGTTGCGATCAAATTACTGGCAGACTACGAGCAGGGCAAAGATGTGCTAGAGCAGGCAAAGAACCTGGCTGAGACGCAAGGGCAGGAGAACCTGACGGTACAATTGTGCACCGCGATGATATTGGAGAGAGCCGGGGAGACAGAGGCAGCGCTAGAGGTGTTGAGTAAACACCAGGGCAGTTTGGATGCGTAAGTTGCCCTTGAACTTGGAGACTGGGCGATTAAGAGTATGGCCAAATCATTGGGGTATCAGCTAATTTCCCCTCCAGCGTAGCACTCATCGTGCAAATTCACCTCCGCCAGAACCGCACAGATCTCGCCCTCAAGGAAGCGCAGCGCGCACGGAAATGGGCACAGGATAGTCTACTCGTCAATATCGCCGAGAGCTGGGTTGGCATGCGCGAGGTACGTTCTCCCTTTCCTGCGAAGTCCGCACATCACCCACGACAGACAAGATGCATGCATAATCTAACCATCTCTCCCAGGGCGGCGAAAAATACCAATCCGCATTCTACGTCTTCGAAGAACTAGCCACATCCGCCCAATCGCAGTCCCCCCACTCGCTTGTCGCCCAGGCCGTCTCGGAACTGCACCTTGGCCGCCTACCCGAAGCCGAAGCTGCGCTGCAACAAGCCCTCGCCATCGACGCAAACTCGGCAGACACGCTCGCCAACCTCATCGTCCTCGATACGCTGCTCGGCAAGCGCGAGGAGACGCAGCAGTTGAAGACGCAGCTGCAGAGCGTGGCGCCGGATCATGCGGCGCTGGCGGACTGGAAGGAGAAGAAGGAGGAGTTTGCCAAAGCGGCGAGCAAGTACACTCCTAAGTTTGAGGTGGCATCGTGAAGAGGGTTATCAAGGTTGGGGAATTCAGAGTATGCCAAGCTTACATGTATGCATGTGTGTTTGGGCGCTCACATGCTCAACTTACAATGGCAAACCGAAATGCCCGGGCAGAGGATAGAAAAAAAGCCTAAGCCTCGATACGAACTTGTAACACAATCAAGACATTTCCAATATACAAAAAAAAATCCACAACTGCAACTTCAAGAACACGTGAATGAATGGATAACCCAACGCACCACTCCCAAAGCCTGTCCAATAGATGACCCAAAACGCGGCTCTTAAGCTTCACCTCACCTCACCTCCCTCTGACACCATGGCATCCCAACACTGCAAACAATGTCACGTGCATTGTTTATATTTCAAACATGTGCTCTGATTCCTTGTTTTACATAGTACGGTACATACACACCACCCTCCCGCCATCGTCATACTTGACTGCTAAAACGCAGGACAGAGGAGAATGTGCATGATGATAGGGTACATGTATGGTGTCGGTGTTGCATCATGTAGGTGGACGATGCAGGGGGGAGAGGGGCATGTGTTGAGCGGGGCGGGATGTAGCGTATTGTACTCTATTGTAACTTACAGTACATGTGTAGGTTGGGGTGGAGTGGGGGTGTGTACAATGTACAATGTATGTACAAGCTGGCGATGCATGTATTGGTATACTAATATAACATAACATGACATCACATACCGGTACATCCCACAGACAATCCCACACGCCAACTCCAACACCACACCACACCACACCACACTCTCAGTACGGGTACACTCTCCCACTCCCACACCGCAACCGCTAGATAACCCAGCCCAACATTCCCAATGTCAGCCACCTATACATGCAATCCCAAAGCTAACCCCCAGCGCACGGTAGACGCAGATCGCCGCGCCAGGCTACGGACCGGGGTTTTTTTGCCTTGGCGGTCGATCGGTGCCGAGACCAGAGGGGCGGGATGGGTGGTGGGGGTGTGTATGTATGTGTGAAGTAGTAGTATGTAGATAACTGTACAAACTATGTATGTACCGTATATACAAGTATGTATATATCATACGTATATACGCATGTACGGCAGTGTCCACCCAAGCAGCCGCTGGCTAGGAAAAATCAGCATGGCCATCCATCTATGGAGGGTGGGTGGGATGGTGTTTGATCGGCGTGTTGATTTCAATCCTTCAATCCAGTTTTCAGCAACAGTAAGTCAGTAGTAGGTTGGATTCGCAGGCACACATCCACCACACCCACCCGACAAGTTCCAAAAAGGCAATCAAACGCGCGCTGGCTCTCATCTATGTAGGTAGCTATGCCCACGGGGGTTCCTGCTGTCATGACACGTCAAGTGTGTTGAAGGCAGACGGGCTGGAAACTCCAACTGTGTTAGCGTCGGGAGGTGCGACATCCGAGCCTCGTCGAAGCAATCTTAGAACAAGCTTAACTGGGCCCGGCAGCCAATCTGAGCACGCGTGGTCTAAGCGCCGTAGCCGTCCATTCCAGATGCGGAAATGGAGAGTGTCGATTTGGGGAGAGGATTTCGGTACAGGAGCTGTGGTGGGTGGGTTGGAGGACTGCATGGCTGGCCGCTTGTCACTGCAGGGAATTGTCGATTTCTCGTTTTATGGTTGCTTTGCGCCGCTGCTGCAGTCCGTCACCAATCCATTCGCTGTCTTATTCCCCGCTGAACATGCGCGCAACTGGCTCAGGCGAGTCATTTTGCCGCTGCAGAGTCGATCACGAGTTCCCGAGCTCGCCGCTGCCTCGCCCAGATTTCGGGGCAACTGAGAGCACCAGCCATCGTCGTCATTAGACCCTGGTGGTGTTGGTCAAGATGGAATCGGCCGGCAGGTTCGATGTACAAACACCCATGATTGAGAACATGGTTGTGGGAGTGCCGCCAGTATTCGAAGGCTTGACAAAGGAGCTGGACAAGATTGTCGAACAGCCACTGCTCGGCCCAAGGACGAATTTCCCCGCAGGTAGGAGAGGCCCAGTACATGCATGGCTAACATGAACGTGTCTAACACCAAGACAGCTTCCTTTACCTTCACCCGGAAAGATGTTTCTGGAAACCACAGACCACAGGCAATCGCCCATCGAGGGTACAAGGCAAAGTTTCCAGAGAACACCATGGGCGCTTTCAAAGGTGCTGTAGAAGTTGGTGCAGAAGGGCTGGAAACTGATATACATCTGACCAAAGACGGGGTGGTTGTCCTGTCGCACGTGGGTTTGCCGCAAGGCAGGAGGATACTTGCAGGCTGACTGTGACCAGGACAAGGACCTGAAGCGTTGCTTTGGCCGCGAGGAAAGGATTATAGATTGTGACTACGACTTCTTGAGTGGACTGCGAACACTGAAGGCGCCGCATGAGCCGTTACCCCGCCTGGTCGACTTGCTCGAGTATCTGGCACAGCCTGGATTGGAAGACATCTGGGTGATGCTCGATATCAAGGTATGACCTTATGTGAGTTTTGTTGGGGAGTGGCGTGCTGATCAAAATGCAGCTCGATAATGAGGCCGACGATGTGATGCGCTTGATTGCAGAAACAATACAGAGTATACGTCCTTTGCCGTCGCGGCCATGGCGCAGCCGTATCGTACTTGGGTGCTGGGCGGCCAAGTACCTGCCACTGTGCTCCCGCTATTTGCCTGGGTTCCCAGTTACACATATTGGCTTCTCCACGCTCGTGGCCTCCTACTTCTTCACAGTACCCAACATCTCCTTCAACATGAACCAGGCTGTGTTGATGACACCGTGGGGACGCCTGTTTCTCCGCAAGGCTCAGCGGGAACAGCGGCCCGTGTATGCATGGACGGTAAACGATGCGTCGAGAATGCGGTGGGATATACGGCGAGGGTTGGATGGCGTCATCACGGATGATCCCAAGCTGTTCCTCGAGGTGCGGCGGGCGTGGCATGAGGGCACGAAGGATGGTGTGAGCCTGATGACATGGCTGGATGTGGCCAGACTCAACTTCTTTGCTCTCATCTACGCCATCTTGTTCTACTTCATGTTTGGCTTTTCACAGAAGAGGTCGCCAGTCAAAGTGAAGGCGACGGCGGAAGGTTGAGCTGTGCAATTAGCGCCAGCGTAGGGTAGATGGATGAAATGATGACAGCCAACATGCATGTGCACACAAGACACTATGGCTGCGCTGACGGTGCCATGCCAAAGAAGAGGGATGCCCTCTTGTCGTCGTGATGAGCTGAGGTATCATGGCTTGGGAAGTCTGACATGACACAGATGACAGTGCAGGTGGACGGGCCATGGACAGGCCGGGGTCTTTTGGGGGGGGGAACGCGACTTGGTCCAACCCCACTACGCGTCGACATTGGTTATATTGTATGTAGCCCCAACCAACAACAACTTAAAACAACAACCATGCCCAGGTACGGTGGTCTTGCATGAACCTTCCACCCTTGCTCAACTTCACTGACCCTTCACTGACCTTCACTGCCACAGAGAAATAATAACGCTGCAAGCCGGCCAGTGCGGCAACAGCGTCGGGCAGCAGTTCTGGCAGCAGCTGTGTCAGGAGCACGGCATCAATGCGGACGGTAATCTCCAAGACTTTGCGACTGAAGGCGGCGACCGGAAAGATGTCTTCTTCTACCAATCCGACGACACGCGCTATATTCCTCGCGCCATCCTCTTGGATCTCGAGCCAAGGGTGCTCAACTCCATCCAGGCGAGCGCATACAGGAACATCTACAACCCCGAGAACTTTTACATACACAAGGATGGAACGGGTGCGGGCAACAACTGGGGCATGGGCTACAGCATGGGCGAACAAGTGCACGAAGACATCCTCGACATGATTGATCGGGAAGCAGACGGCTCGGACTCGCTTGAAGGCTTCATGATGCTGCACTCGATCGCTGGCGGTACTGGTTCTGGTCTGGGCTCCTACATGCTCGAGCGACTCAATGACCGCTTTCCTAAGAAGCTTATCCAAACCTATAGTGTTTTTCCCAACACACACGACGGTGATATCGTCGTCCAGCCATACAACAGTCTGCTCAGTATGCGCCGGTTAACACAAAATGCGGACTCTGTCGTAAGTGGACCCCATTGGCACCCTTATGGAGAGAGATACAGAATAGCTGATTGATTAGGTTGTTCTCGATAACGGAGCCTTGTCGAAAATTGCTGCAGACCGATTGCACGTTATGAACCCGTCGTTTGAGCAAACTAATCAGCTCGTCTCGACCGTCATGTCCGCCAGCACCACGACCCTCCGATACCCCGGCTACATGCACAATGACCTTGTAGGCATCGTTGCATCGCTCATCCCCACGCCCCGTTGCCACTTCCTCATGACTTCATACACCCCATTCTCGGGCGAGAACGTCGAGCAAGCCAAGACGGTCCGCAAGACCACCGTTTTGGACGTCATGAGACGATTACTCCAACCAAAGAACCGCATGGTCTCCACCAATCCAACCAAGAAGAGCTGCTACATGTCCATTCTGAACATCATCCAAGGAGAGGCAGACCCTTCCGACGTAAGACACCCCTCTCCTCCTCCTTCGGCCCAATGCCGACTAACCATACCAGGTCCACAAATCGCTCATGCGCATCCGCGAACGCCGTCTTGCAACCTTCATCCCCTGGGGCCCCGCCTCCATCCAAGTCGCGCTTACCAAAAAATCACCCTACGTCACATCCTCCCACCGCGTCTCGGGCCTCATGCTCGCCAACCACACGGGCATCGCTACCCTCTTCAAACGCATCGTAGCCCAATACTCGACATTGCGCAAACGCAATGCCTTCCTCGAAAGCTATAAGCGAGAAGCGCCCTTTCGCGACGGCCTCGGCGAATTCGACGAGGCCAAGGAGGTCGTCCAGGGCCTGATTGAGGAGTACGAGGATGCCGAGGAGGCGGATTATTTGACCAAGGGCATTGTGGCACCTGCGGAGGAGGCTGAGGATAAAAGAGTGGGCTAGGTGCTGTGTGACGGACAAGTTGAGGGAGATTTTGAGGGAGAGGGTATTTTATGCGACGGGCTTGATGGGCTGAAGGGATGCAGGATGTACGGATGGTAGAGGTTGAATTGACACGGCACACACAAACCTCTACTCACGAGTCTATTATTTCAAGCGAAGAGCGGAAAAGAAGAAGAGAAAATTTCAAGATGGCGTTTGCGTTTACGTTTTGCATCAGAGCCATGTTGGCTCAGGCTAGGGATTGTTCGGACAAGTGGCGCTTTGGGCGTTTTGAAAGATGATGGCCAATATTTTCACTTTTTAGCAGATGGGTGATGTGTACATGTGTCATATGACGTGATGATTATTATGAAGTGAAAGTGTGCACTTGTCCGAGTAAATTGCGGATCTCAACTTCAAGGGTGTGAGGGTTTTTCGGGGAAGAATTTATAATGGATTCCGTGTGGGATAGTTTGTGGGCGTATTGGGCAGTTGGGGAGCATGATAGCACATGTCCCGGGGACCTCGCGAGGAAGAAATTCATCTTTTACTTTTTTAAAATTAGAAAGGGGGGAGGGGGGGAAAGAAGGAAAGCCCCCCCCCCCCCCCCCCCCATGACAAAAAAAAATAATCGTTCTTGGCATGGCCTACTGGTAGCCACCATCACAATCTCGAGGTTACTCGCCTAGTAGCCTGTAATTATCAATTTCAAAGTATTTGAATCATCTGTCATCCTAGCTATTATCTATCATCTTACACTTGTACCTAGTCATTCCATCTAACTATATATCTACGGTAACTACACACATCGTGAGTACGACGACATCTGAGCGGCATGCCAAGAACGAGTATTTTTTTGTCATGGGGGGTGCATTCTTGACTTATGGCCCTGTATACACACTTGTCATTCCTTCAATCATGTCACAGTGTTTTTTTTTCTGCCCCCCAGCCGTTAAATCGCGTGTGCCGGGGGGGTTTTTTCTTGGTTGTGCCAGGGATGTAGTGGCGGGATACTAGTATTGGAATAGTATCGCAAAGCAGGATCTACGGGCGAGGATTAGGCGGAAGGGGGAATGCAGTGTAGGTTGAACAGCGCATGCTGTTTCCTAGTTACCTGCCTACTGTGTAGGTAGGTTTTTTGTGCAACAGCGCTTGGCACCGCTTGAAATGATGTAGCGGATTTTGGGATCTGCGCGCTGTTGTGTTGCGTTAGGAGCGTGAGATTTGGGGGTTTTACGTTTATTTTCCGAATGGGTGAGTTGTAGGATGTACGTGATGGTCTGAAATGTCGAGATGAGGGACAAGTGATGATCCTGCTCAGGCAGAGGTAGCTTAGAATCCTGACTGGAGTTGGAGAAATCCGGGCATGTTGGGGACAGTTGAGAAACATTGTGCGCATGCTGACATCCGATGTATGCAGATAGGTACAGACTGGGAGACTGGGTACATGTCTTGTTTTGTTGCAAGAGCTTGATCTGCAGGTCCGCGCCTTGGGCCGTTGGTCACATGGTAGGCTAGGTATGTATGTATCTACGACGGAAGCGAGAAAGGCTGGAGATGGGACGGCTGACTTTCCTCCACGGTAAAGAGATCTAGTGCCGATTAGCGAGCAACCACGAGATGTAGAAGATATGTACCTACACGGCGGGGAAGGTATGGCTCGGTGGGTGGTGTGGTCTCAGATGCGCCCTACTATCGGAGATGCACACACATGTAGATAGTAGTGTATCTGATTGGAGTTGTTTGGGGAGAAGAAAAGTCGAAAGAATGGACCCTACTATGAGCGCACCTACATGTCATCTCGATGTTTCCCGTCGATCGTCACATGCTCACATGCTGTCGCAAATGCCAGTACTACTTTCCTATGGCACAGTTCAGGTTTTCTGATGGTCGTTCGCCCCAAACTCGGTACTTGGAACTTTGCCCATCAACTTTAGCACGCGACTGAGCCACCTAGTAGCAATAGGTTCTCGCCAGACTGTGGCGATCGGAGATAATTTCCGCACAAGACCTGTACTTGTGTGGCTTCTTTTCCTTGCAAAAGTCCATGCTTGACCAGAATTAGAGTTTCCGCACTCTCCACCACGTGGTGCCCGCGGTCGAGAGTTGAAGCTATCAGGGGTTTCCCGCCAACTAAGCCCAGTCAAGGCACGGAAACGATAGTTAGCTGCCAGTCAGACAGCCGTGCATTGAACAGAACTCCACCCCAGGGCAATTGGCGTGACAAGGAAGATGGTAGCAGGAGGGGGGGGGGGGGTCGGAGAAAGAAGATTTTTGACAATCGTGGTAGCTTGGCTTGGATGTCTACCGGTACTGTGCAGTAGATAGCCTGGTGTCTGCAAGTTGCAGATGCTATAGAGCAAAGGCTGGACCAGTAGGAAGCACTGCCTGAAGACGATGAGCAAGTGGACGGATGCGAGTCAAGAGGTGGTTCTGCGACTGGGAAATCCTCCAATGTGATGGTTGATCGAGGTTGAGGAGTGAAGTCATCTCATCAGAAGCGGGCTAGCGAGGTGGGCCCCGAAATGGCTTGGCCGAACCTCCTACAAGCATCAACTCGACCAGAGACACAGTCAGCAACGTTTTGTTTAGCCCGATTGCGCAACTCGAGCCTACCCAGACTAGAACCCTCGGATTTATAAGAGGAACTTGGACACTGTGGCCGTGACCAACACAGCCTGGCCAAAAAACTCTCTCTCTCTCTCTCTCTCTCTCTCTCTATCTCTCTCTCTCCGAAACCAGCGTTGGGGAACAAAGGGCCAGAATAGTCATCTCAACCGGCCTTCCCTCGGTGCTACTCCCCGCCCTCCGATTCGCACACAGCGCAGACGAGCCTGATGACGACGTAAAAAGCGAATTGCGACTGTGGTTCACCTCCACGTCCCTCAGGGCGAAGGTTCTATCTTAAATCCTCCCCATGTGCCTATCTTCGCCGATTGAGCTGCATTACGTTACAGCGCGCCCGCCTGGTTGACCGATTGTGGATACCATCATACCAGCTAGATGAATCACACAAGCATGACCACCCCTCGAAGGAAGGCCTGTGTGGAGTGCCGACAGCAAAAGGTACATTTCCTCTACACCACCAACCACACTCGACAATGCCTATGGCGATGGGCTGGGAAAGCTGACTCTACAGATCCGCTGCGATGTCGAACAGCACAAGACCCCACATGATCCCTGTGGGCGTTGCAAGAAGATGGGCCTTGAATGCAGGATCCTTCCGACATCAACAAGGAACCTACGCCAAACCAAGGCAGAGATGCGACGAGAGCTTGAAGAATTGAGATGGAATCTCCGCCAGAATTCAGGAGATCCAAACCATACTCAGTCGACTACAGCGTCACCAAATGTTGACATGCACCACTACACTCCACACGAACATGCCTCCGGAACCTACTCCGACCCATCTGCCAGGACCGAAGGATCCCAGTCTCTCTCCCCAGCTTTCGAATCAAGGCCACCAACAAGAAAAGGTTCGGATAACCGCGCAACGCTGCCTCGCTATGTCGATGGCTATCTCCTCGATGCCAGGAAAATCGACGATTGCTTCACCCTGTACGTACATCAGCCATGAATCCTGAATTCTCCCAAGCTCATTTCCCATGTAGATTCTTCAACCAATATCATCCGCGTTTTCCCATTTTAGATCCCTCATTAGGGCCTAACGAGTACTATGATCTATCTCCTTTTTTGTTCTGGGCCATTGTCGTCACGGGATCAAGGCGATACACCGAGGACACCTTGGTTTTGGAAAAGACCAGCCAGCATATCGCCCCACTCGCCTTCTCATCCATGGCCTTGCGTTCCTCGCCAATACCAGTCATCCAAGGCCTTCTTATTCTGTGTACTTGGCGGTTACCAACAAATTCCATGTACAAAGACATGACCCATCTGATGTGTGGTTCCGCAGTTCATTTGGCGACTCAGATTGGTCTCCACATCTCCGGTGAGGGGCAGGATTTTGCAAGGATGCCGCTCAAGAAAGATCAAGACTTGAAAATCACGCGAGCTAAGTTATGGTTATGTTGCGTGATCGTGTCCATCCGGTAAGTGGTGACGATGTATCCATACGACAGCAGCTAATTTCGACAAAGGACGAGCTGCGCTGAGGGAATACCACCCCTTGCCGAATCATTCTTCGATGGTGATGAACGTGAGAGGGAAGATATGGTCCCGCATCTTCCAGTCGACTTGCAGTACTTGCACAAGGTCTTTATTGTTCTGCTTCGTGCAATGGTAGCAATGGGCAAGACCAATCTACAATCGATCAAGTGCGATGTCCGCGTGCTGCGATCCCTCATCAGTATATTTGATTCACAACTGGTTAGCTTATCCACATCCTCCCCAAGCCCCCTTGGTAAGTGCCAGCTCCGCTTCCTCTTGAAGCGACGCGTCGGCTGACTAGGCAGACTCGTTACAACTTGAATGCGCCCGCGTCCACATCATGGCTTTCCACTTCTTTGCTCACCCAACAAATCCCGGACCGGATATGGATGGCTTCTCTCGCCTTTACTCACTATGTGTCGGAGTCATTGAAACAGCCTTTAACATGATTATGACAGATCCCACATCTCTTCCTTCGGTATCGCAGTCTTTCATTGACAGGACCATCGCGCTCGCCGGTTTTGCCATTCTCAGACTTGTGCGGAGTTCGCTCGCACAACATTTGGATATTACTGCGGGAGAGCGAGCATTCTCACATGCCGTGCAATTTCTGAAGAATTCATCCTTACAGCCAGGTGATATCGGCATTCGCACAGCTCTCATCATGAATGATCTCTGGCAAAGCAATAGGGTTTTCCGCAGGAAAGATGGACGACTGGAGCCGCTTGCGCTAAGGCTGAGGACTAGACTAAGTATGAGCATCAGCTACGACATGTTCTGGTATTGGCGAGAAGAATTTGGAAACATGCAAAATCCTTATAATAGCGAAGATGCCACAGTCTCGTCGAATGAAAATACAAAGCCAAATACACCTCGTAAGTTGTTGCATCCCTCTGAGCGGTATAGTTACTGATGAACAGGCCAAGCGTATACTTCGCAACCACTCCAGGAGGCACCGAACCCGACCCTGGGGATGCCGAATCCCTTGAATAAGTTTGATCCCACCTTGATGAACCCCCAACTACAGGATCCTGCTCTCGTGAACTTTAACGGTGGTTGGGATAGCTCCGAGTACGGTGTTCCCCCTATGTTGGATCAATTCCCAGATTACGATTGGGCAGCGGGCTTCGAGTTTTCCAATAGTAACATGCCCACTATTCCCATTGGTGCCATGAACCCAGCCATGCAACAAGGAAACGCCGCAAACATGGGGTATACCTTTGGCTGAATGCTAGATGGTTAGACAGTGGCCAAAATCGGCCGTAG